AGGCAGAAATAACCTTTCTTGTCTTTGGTTCTAGATACCCTTTACCTTCTTGCTTTTCCTGGGTATTTGCTTTGGGCGATTCTTAAGTCTAAATCTAAATAAAAACCATTGTATCCGCTCCTGCAAGCCCCTCTCCATTGTCCTAACTTCTCATCCAGCCAAGCTTTTTGAGAGCAGAACTGCTACTTGTCACATTGACTGCTTCATGGCCTGCTCTTTCCTTCATCTTTCTATTGGAAATTCCTTACATGATCCTGAAATTGCTCTTTCCAGTGTGGCCAGCAACTTCCTGGTTACCAAACTAACCACCAGTTCCTAAGCTACTTTATGAGCCCTTGTTATTTAAAAAAAAATAACATCTGATGCTACTGACTCTATTTACATTCTGGAAATGTTTTCCTTCTTTGTCTTTCTTTCATAGAGTTACAGTGAGCCTCAAATCAAATGGTGTACATGAAGCACTTGGAAATTGCCACATGGAATTTCTCAATGAATATTAACTGCTGTTGTTGTTATTCTGGGACATGATGCTGTCTAATTTTTATGCTGCCAGTCTCTTTATTTTTAAAATCTTTTAAAAATTTTTTCTGTTCCTTAAGTACAGAATCTCCCTGTGTGCCTCTCTGTAGCTTTCTTCTCTCATAAGTACAGATTTACTATTAAATTGATGAAGTTTGAGCTGAAGGCTTCTCAGTTACACAGGCTACTTTCCAGGAGTGTGGAGGCTTTCACTGCATCACGCGGCCAGTGTGTTCCTCCAGGCTTTAAAGCTGAGCCATCTCACACCTCTACCTCCCTCACACTCCTCTGCCCCAAGCGATGTGGGGGCAGTTGTGGGTTTCTCTGATCTCCCAGTAAGCAGAAGTGCTGGGATACATTTATTTTCCTTTTGTGGGTTGTATGTATGTGGCTCCCAATTGCTTCTCTGTGTGGCTGAATTATTGCTGGGGTCTCAGGGAAGAAATGGCTCCCTTGTGGCCCTCATGCCAACTCGCCCAGGCCTGGAGAAGTTTGAGCAGAGTGGAAAAGAAAGAAACACAGTGCAAAGTTAAATGTGAAAGCTTTTAAAAACTAGCACTTAAAAAAGTAATTGCCATGGTAAAAAAGGACTGAATTGCATGTCTATTCTCTCTTTAAAAACTGGTACTACACATGGATTGTCATGATGGAAAAATGAAAAGTCTATTGATAAAATATGTAGGAAAATCAAATGTGCAGAAGACAAAAGGAAAAACAGACTGAGTTCAGCTGGGAAGAGCTGGTGTGCTACTGCATGTCTGGATGAATACAGATAACAGTAATGTACCGTGTGTACCAGAAAGCTAGAAAGAAAAAAGATTTAAAATATTTTCACCATAAAGAAATGTTAAATGTTTGAGGAAACGAATGTTTACTGTGATTCAAACATTATGCAGTGTATACATGTATCAGAAATCACATGGTGCCCTGTTAATATGTACGATTTTTATGTATAAGCTAAAATAAATTAAAAATAAGTCATAGATAAATTGGACTACATCAAGATTGAAAGCTCTTTCACTGCAAATGACATCATCAAGAGAGTGAAAAAAAAAATAGCCCACAGAATGGAAGTTTTGTAAGTCCTATCTGACATAATCTGCAACCAGAATATATAAAGAGCACTTACAATTCAGTAATAAAAGACAACCCAATTAAAAATGTGTGAAGCATTGAGTAGTGATTTCTCCAAAAAAGCCTATAAGTGGCCAATAAGTACACGGAAAGATGCTCAATATCAGCTCTCAGCAAAATGCAAATCAAAACTACAGTGAAATACCAGTCATAGCCTAGCATGGCTAGAATAAGAAAGACAAGATGAAGTGTGAGGATGGTGCATGGAGAAACTGAATCCTTGTATGCTGCTGGTGGGAATGTAAATTGGTGCAGCTACTGTGGAACATACTTCGGGGCTTTCTCAGGAAGTTAAATACAGAGTTATGGGGCCCAACTATTCTATACTTTGGTAGGTAATGAGTAAAATGAAAAAAGAATGTGTTCAAACAAAAGCTTACACTTGAATTTTTATAGCAAGGCTACTCATAATACCCCAAAGTGGAAACAACCCAAAAGTCTATCAACTGATGAGCGGATTAAACAAAAAGTGGTATTATTCAATAGTCCATTATTTGGCAATAATAAGGAATGAAAATTTTTAAAATAAAGCGTTACCATAAGTGAAAGAGGCCAGACACAAAAGGCCACTTATTTTATGATGCCATTTATATGAAATACTGAGAGTAGAAAAATCTATAGACATAATAAGTAGATTAAGTGGTTGTCAGAGGCCTAGGTAATAAGTGACAGCTAATAAGTATAGAGTTTCTTGTAGGGGAAGATGAAAATGTTCTAAAATTGATGATGGTTGCACAATCCTGTAAATATAATAAAAAGCATAGAATCACAAACTTTCAGTGGATGAATTGGGCAGTATGTGAGTTATATTTTAATAAAGCTGTTTTAAAAGTGTGGAAAATATGTACATGTGTGCTCTAAAATCTGTCCATTGTACTGTAAATAAAAACTAAACTCACAGCTTCACTTTCCATGCTTTTTGTTGATATGACAACTTTTTTCCACTTCATTTATACATTTGTAAACCTTACCATTCATTGTTCAAACATCTTCGTAATTTGTCCAATTGGATATGTCTCCTTCTGCCAGACCGATTTTCCTTCTTTCCTCTCGTGCAATCCCTAGTGTGAGCTGTCTTGTGTTGTGTTTATGTCAGTGTCTGTGATATTGTCTACTAGGGCTAGAGAGCTCATAAAGGCCAGCAAGCGTACGTGTTTGTGTTAGGCCTCTCACAGCCCCTGGCCCCTAATCTTACTTGACTGCTACACGATAAGTTCCTATCACTTGACAGAACAAATGGGTTGTGAAATTATTAGAAATGATCTCAGATATGACACTGTCTTCACCTACCTCTTCCACAAGGGTGGTTTGTGAACAACGTGAGAGCAAGGGTACAAAGACATTTATGGAACTCTGAAAACTGTGCAGGGTATTATTATCTGTAACCTTGGTAACTATTCAAATTAATGTCAGTTAAATTTTGGCGGCACTCTTAAGATTCCTTATCATCTGCATTTATTTGTCAGATGAGGTAATGCACTTTTTCTGGGTACAGTTGTCTTTGAGAGGCTGGCAGCATTTTCTGGTTGTAAACAAAACTGTCTCATGTATGGGACCATGACAAAGAGGGAACAGGACGCCAGAAGCTCTGTGAAAACACTCACATCCATCTCAGCAAGGCGCAGTCGGGATCTGGGAAGTTAATTAGTGTCCTGCTCTGCTCCTTGGCTCTTTTGTGAATGAATGGGTCCAGAGATTCATTTTCCTGAGTGAGGAGTTGCTGATATCCATTCAAAGTTCAGAGGAAAGTTCATTTTCTCTGGAAATATTTGTTTTAAATCTGAATTCTGTAGGTAAATATGTTTGTCATATTAAAACATTTCAAACGTACAAAAATGCAGAGAGAATGATACACCTAACAAACCCCTGCCCATGTTTAACAAAGGCCTGATTTATGCCCTATCCACCTGAATCCCACCACCCCCTTCCTCAGAAGTAACTGTTATTTTTTTCCAGGAATCTTTAACCAGTTAATGTTTTAGTCCAACTTTGATGTCTGAGGGACCATTTTCTATTCTACTTCAAAACTGTCCATGGGACTAGTTCCTGTTATTCAGAGTTAAATGGGAATCTCTCCCACACTTCATTTAAATCAGCTTCTGGGTAAGGGGAGGAGTATAGATTTCAAAAACAGTTCCGGAGAAACACTCCTGGAATCCTGGGAAAATGAGCGCGGAGGAGTGAGGAGGGAGATACTAGTGAGTCACCTCTTCTAATTAGACCCCTATCTCCTAATGACAAGTCAGCTGTAATACCCATAATCCAGCCGCTTTCCTCAAGACCCATCTCTGAGCCCATGAGACTTTGGGAGGGGTATTTCAGATCTAAACCATGACAGACTATCAAATTAACAGACTATCAAAATGTAGATCAATCCATTTCAGTAACAGTTTTGGGTAAAAGGGACGAGGTACTTGATAGTAGAGAGAGAAAGATGAAGTAACCTAGGCGGGTGAATGTGGACTTTCCCCCAAAGGCCCGGGTATTAAGGCTTGTTCCCAAGCTCGGTGCCATTGGGAGGAGGTGGGACCTTGAAGAGGTGGGGCCGAGTGGGAGGTCTTAGGTCACTGGGGCATGCCCTCAGAGGGCATTGTGGGATGTCCCTCTCTTTCTCTTTTGTGCTTTCCAGCCACTATGAGGTAAGCAGCAAGCCTTACCACGTGTTCCCACCACGATGTCCTCACTGTGGGCGAAAGTAATCGGGGCAACTGATGATGGACTAAAACCCACATAACTGTCAGCCCAGAAAAAAACATGTTTCCTCATTTTAAGTATTTTGTGACAGTGATGGGAATCTAACTAACATAGTGGGTGTACGTGTGCTCACATGTCTTTTTTACATATACACCTGCTTCATGCAAAAATACACTTGAAAAATCTTTTAAAAATACATGAACAGAACAAAGAAGAAAGAAGAGGTAAGAAAATGAAAGCCAAAGGAAGATGAGGCTTGGAATAATAGCTTCGCTGCTAAGATAATAACGTCATGTGGAATCTGTGCCATGAGGAAGTGAAGTTCTGGATGGCAGTGGCCCCCAGGTTTGGTCTTGAGTTTCTCAGAAGACAGTGAAAAAAATAAAAGGGACACAGTACAGGGCCCTTAATGTAGAAGCAAATCCATTAGCCGAGGAAGAATAGCTATTTCTCATGCAGATGCTTGTAAGCCATTTCCTGGAGGTTTTGGTCCTCACCGATGATAGACGGTGGAGATGCTCTGGCAGAGGTGCACCGTGCTGGGAGTGGTGTGTGTGTATGCAGGACGCACAGTTGAGGCGTGGAGGGGTGCGTGTGAACTGGTAATGCCTGAAGTGCCAGGGTCAGTAGTGCCTGCTACCAGTGACGCCGTGATGGTGAATTTCATGGGTCAGCTTGACCGAGCCATGGGCCGTCCGGTTATTTGGTCAGACGCTGTGAGCACATTTTCCTCAGTAATGTGAGCGGACCTGACTCAATCAGTTGGAGACCTGAGTAGAACAACAAGGTTGACCTCCTTGTGAGTAAGGAGACTTCTGCTTGACAGCTTGGTCTGAGACATTACTTTTTTTCTACTTTCAGATTCAGAAGATTTCAGATTTCAGATTCAGCTCTTTTAAGGGTATTGGCCTTTGCACTGGAAACTGTGCCACCAGCTGTCCTGTTTCTCAGAACTTTGAACTTGGACTCATACTGTGCCGTGGGCTCTCTCGAGTCTGCAGCTTCCCAACTGTCTGGGACTTGTCCGTCTCCATTCCCATGTGAGCCTATTCCATATGATCTCTGTCTATAAATGCACATTGTATAGATTTGCTTCTCTGGAGAGCTCTAACACAACATTCTGTATGCAAAGAGGAGTAGCCTGGGCCTTAGGTACTAGTTATAAAATTGTTATGTATTTCAGGAGATATAACTTTGGGTTCATAGGCTTTCTAACAGATGCTGTTAAATGGTGGGATGATTTTGTACTCTCTTACTATTAACCTTAAGTACTCATAATAATAACAATATTGCTAGCAGTAGTGATGGTGTAATTCTAAGCACTTTCCATGTATCAGCTCACTTAAGGCTCTTTCAAAATATTCTGCGGGAACTGAGGCACCCAGAAGTTAAGGATCTTGTTGAAGGTCATGTAGCTAGGAAATGATGTAATATTTTCAAGGCTGTAGTCTGAATAGAGTGAGTCTTTCATTTACTCTTATGGTGAGAATAGTGGAGGGATCCTTTATGGAAGAGAATCAGATGTCACCTTCTTTTGCACCCAGGGGTCCTCTCTCTGGGGCAGGGGGGCAGCAGGCCTGTGTGCAGTGTAGGCTGCTTATGTGACTGTGAGGAGGGTCAGCCCAGGGCGATGGTGATGGCAGGAAAGGAGGATGCCTACAAGAGCGGCTGAGATGCCAGGCACAGTGGGAAGCCGTGCTGTGTGGAAAGACGGCCTGCTGAGGAGCTGCAAATGAACCCTGCATTTCACCAGTTTCCCAGGCATTCTCCTGCTATCATGTATGGCCTGTGAATGTCAGAGAGGGACTGAAGCTTCAGTTGTTTGACACTCAGCTCTGTGCCTTCCCCACCAACACCTTCCTCTCTCACCAAAAATTTCTGTTGTGAGTCTTCTGCATACCAGCATGCATCAAAAAGAGGCAAGAAACAGGGCAACAAGGCACACAGAGGTTCTTAGAAAACAGAAGTGGGCAAGAGAAGCTAGACTGGCTTTGCTGTGGTTGGGAGATGTTCTCGGCACTGAACTTGCCCACTCCCCTGGTCCACGCTTCAGCTCAGCAAGAGGACATGGGACCTCCAGACCCAGGGCCAAGTTGTCCACATCATGGGAGCACGATCCTCAGGGCCATGAGTGTGTAGGTGTGTGCCTAATAAAGCCCACTGCTGGAGCTAGCCTGGTCACCTTTGTGTCATTGTCTCCTCCTGGTCAATGTTTTTCAGGCTGTTCTTTAGCCCTGCCTGCTGTATTTAGAATAGCCAAGGTGAGTTAGGGCGAAGTTACAGCTACATTGGAGAATTCCAGGTGGGATGACAGTGGAGTCACCTGATGAGGAGCCCAGCCCTGTCTACCAACCGCACAGGGCTGGCCTCTGGGAGCAGTGGCTGCCGGAATGGCAGGATCCTGATGAGCCATTTTGAGGCCTGTTGATCCTGCCACCTCCCTTCCCACCAGGTAAATCCTGCTTAGACACCAGCGCCCGATGAAAACTGCATGATAGGACTTGTACGAAGGATGCAACCGATGGCCCGTGTCAGCTTGTTGGAGCTAAAAAATATATTTTAATTTGTTTAGCTCTCTGGGGAAATTATCTGAGCCTGCATGTGCTAATCAACTTTCACATGAGCTTTCAAAGAACTTGAAATGATTCAAGCAACAAAATGAGATTTTTAATCTACATAAATACAGAAATCTTTTGCCCTTTTTTCAAGAGGAGAAAAGAGATTAAAAAATTTCTAATTCATTCCTCCTCTCCTCCCCTAGGACACTGTCATTAGCAGTCATAGGAAAATGATCATCTGAGTTGTAGTACGTTGCCTGCCACTGTCGCTCACAGTTTCTCTTTTTAATGTAAACTTTATACCAACTCTTAGGGTCAGGTGCGGAGGCAAGCACGGCTCACCATCTGATTGAAGGGAGTGGGCCTTGGCAGATGATGTGAGTTGCAAGCTCATGTGGCTGAGGGGTAGTGGCGTCAGGACTAGAGTTCTATCAGGAAGTGGCTCAGGGCTCTTTTTACCCTTCTGGCTGCCTCACAGTAAGAATAATGCAAAAAATTATTCTATTAGAATTTATAAGAGAGTAGAGTTAAAGGTTAGATGGATTTATACTGCATTGTTCAAGTTAAGTTATGGTTTAACTTCTCCATGCCAAGTCCCCCGTGGGCCTGCTGACTCTCCAGGGAAGTTGCCCTCCATGTCTCCAAGCTGCTTTGATCTCCTGTGCCCCTGTGTCACAGGAGTCTTCAGAGTGTGTGGAAGAGGGGAAGGGGGACTTAAGAGTTGCATGCTGGCTTTTAAGCTCTTCAGTCCCCAAGGAACAAGATTCACAGCCTGTGGCCTAGGTGGTGTCACATAGCTCTGCCCACCTTCACAGGTGGTTGTGAAACCGTGTCTTCTGTGTGACAGGAAGGGGAGGAAAACCAGGAAATCAGGTAACCCAGGACCACCGTATCATCCACAGGCCGTAGGTTCTGCCATGGATCAGGCCCCTCCTGGACTGATGCCCATGTCACAGATCCCCAGGAAAGTGTTCCTGCCACCAGGTATCACTTTGGAAGAGCATCTCAATATTCATCAGACAGGTATAAACCATGCAGCCTCTACTCAATGTCTGCACAGTGTCCACTTCTCAAAATTCCTGATTTACAGACATTTGTTTACCTTTATCACCTGTTGGGTCTTTGTCATCTAGGGCCTTTGGGGTCAGGGTATGGCCCTGGTGCTCTGTAAGAGCTCGCATGGCTGGGTGTGGTGGTGCATACCTGTAATCCCAGTGTTTGGGAGGCTGAGGCAGGAGGATCACTGTGAGTTCGAGACCAACCTGGGCTACCTAGTGAGTTCCAGGTCAGTCTCAACTACATAGTGAGACCCTGTCTCAAAAAAATACCCCTCCCCCTGGAAAAAGTTAAAGAGCTCACATGGCAACTACACATGTGTTTGCAGAACAGACCAATGAATGGATGTATGGAAAAGCAAGGCCCGCAAAATTTAATGCTGTGTCAGTGAGGTGACAAGTCTCTCAAGTGTCTTCACTCAAAGCTCGGGTCCAGGTGGCGATTTCTGAGCTGTAATTACCCGTTGCTGGCCTGCAGCATCCATGCCCACTGGTCAGGGCTGTGCTGTACCACTTGCCTTATATCCTGCCACACCCTTCCTTAAAAGTTGAAGAAATGTCTTCTGTTTTAAAGTTAAATCATTTTCTGTTTCTCCAGCATGGTGTTAATCCACACGATGATATATAATTTAATGGTGAAATGCCATTAGGTACCTAAACTATTTGGAAAGTCTAAATTAGAACCATTTTGTGAGAAATACAGAGTTTCTGTGTGTGACGGTGAAAATGCCTGGGAACTGAGGGCCAGTGGAGATGTTTGCACATCAGTGTGCTTGAACTTGGTGAAACCATTGAACTGTATGCTTAAAGATGGTTATGAGGATGCGTTTTACATCTGTTTTACCACAATACAGTAGCTTTCCATTGTAATGTATGTCATTCCACAAATGCAAACAGAACACTCATAGAAATCAGGACTCAGAACCTGGCTGTAGACAACACGGTTCAGTGTCACCTAGTGGGACCCGAGCCTGTCTCGTTAGCAGCCCAATACGACTGTGCCACCAGGAAAATTGGCCGAGCCTGGGTAACATTTTGGATCCCTGTCTGATTATTGAGCAAAACTATCCCCCAAGTGAGACTGATTAGGGTCCTATGGAAATATTTTCCCACTTCTTTTCCCAGGGTGAAAATTTAGGTAAGTGTCCTCTAAATCTTTACTGAATCGGCATGAGCCTCTCTTATTTTATTTTTCCCTGATAAAATGTCCTTTACAGAGTAATTTCAAACTGTTTCCTATCCCTGCATTTATAAAGTGAAAATTCAATCCCTCCACAACTATCCTCAAGTTTTAAAATATGCAGACACGTACTGATTGGCTTGGATGGCCAGTTTCTTCACACTGATCTGATGAAATTGCATGCCCTTGCTACTTAAGTCTGAGTGTAGCTGTCCTTTAGAGGGAGGAGTGACCCCCCACTCCTGTCACCTCCAGGAAGCAAGGGGGCCTGCGTTTCCCTGCTTAGGCACGTTTCCTTTAAGGCGCCCAGGGTTGTCCAGGCAGTGATGGTCCTGTGCCTGGTGACTTATTCCCTCACGAGTGCATATTGGATCCCATACACAGCTGTGATCTACGGTTCCCACACTCCAGGGTTGATTTGGATTTTCTGTAATGCCTGAATTGAATTTTGCTGCCATGTTGTTTTCTGCTTTATGATTCAGCAAAAGAGAGATAAATCTGGAAAACCTGCTTCGAAATGGACATCCTGCATTCAATTCTGTATTACTAGATCTTAAAAAGCCAGGCCTGGATTTCTGTGAAGGTCCCTGCCCATCCTAGAAATTCTAACATTCAAGCCAAAAAATAGGAAGGGACCTACTGTCCCCCATTCTGCCTGCCTGACAGCACCAGTGCTCTTCGTGGGTTTTCATGGGGCTGTTGTTTCCACCAGGGTTGATTGATCTGTTTATTCTAAGCTTGAGGCCAGAGCTGGAAGGGAGGCTGGTTGTTTTGGGCACTGCTGAGAAAAACAGGCTAATCACCTAAATACCACCCTGGGGAATGAAGTAACTCTGGAAGAAATTGAACGGACTTAGGGCTTTGATTTGGATTGGGGAGCAAGAGGGAGCAGCCCGAAAAACCTGGAAAGCTGTTGCCAGTGGCCCTGGCTGGGCAGCAAGAGGGTTTTGATTTCTTTCACTGCCCAAGAGTGAGGAACCCTTCCCCAATTCCAGAGGCTGACCCCATTCTGCTTGGGTTCCCCAGCCTCTGGTGCCAAAGATGGGGGCTGCCCTGTGCAGGGGAGGTTGGTTCAGGTGTCCCTAGTCCTCCTTCCTTAGATGTTACCTTTTTTGTTTTGGTACCAGGGATCAAACTCAGGCCCTTGCACTTGCGAGGCAGGCAGTGGAAACACTGAGTTAAATCTCCGGCCCAGATGTTACCTTCCTTGCCAGCAATTTGAAGATTTTCAGACAAAGAGTTAAAACAAGAGAATTTTGCTGAGGTTTTCTTCTGTCCATCTTCAGCAGCCCTGAATCACATGGGTCATACATGGGAATTTAAAATTTTGAAGCAAGATAGTACCTCTCAGATTACAGGTCACAGCCACCTGATTTCCAGGTTAGACCAGACCAGACTGCTCTTCAGCACCTCTCCCAGGTGGAAGTACAGCAGGGTCTCTTTTAGCTCTCATTACCCCTCTCCTGAGGACTAAGAATCTCAGAGATCCCTGAATCTTGTAGGATTAGTCCTGTCTCCGATGAGCAAATCAGCAAATGTTTATTAAGTGCACACAAAAGACAGATACGAAAAGACAAGACCAATCAATTAATCAACTTCAACACTTGTCATTGGTTGAGGAAGAAAGCAGTATAATGAATGACTGGTAAATACAGGTGTGAATTCCACTTAGCCTCAGTGAGACAAGGGACAGGGAGATTCTTCAAAGGGATAATCCAGCCCATACCAACATGGGGATCCTTAGGGGCTTGGCCAGTCAGTGTCACGAGGCTTCTTCACCCTGAGAGGTATACAGCCTGGCTGAACTACTTCTTACCTTTCTTTCTCACTAGTATCTGCCAGTGATAGACCAGCACTGCAGTTAATCCTAGAGCTAAGTTGAGTTCCTGATGCTGCTCTTTTGCAGCAGGAATGTTGCTGTGACTTCTTAAGGTCATAGGGCCAAGTCAGGAGGCAACAAGGATGAGTTTGGAAGACTCTGATATACACATTAGAGTTCCAACGTGACAACTTTGTAAACTATACATAACTTAATTCCTGTGCCTGCTGTGTGTCTGTCATCCCTGAGATTTCACGGGCCAGATTAGGTCAACAGTGAGCTAGGGAGACAAGATCTAATAAAACAAAGTCAAGGAGACTTTTACTATTTGAGATCAGCCTGAACCAAGGATGACCAGAAAGAAAAAAAAAAAAAATCTGCTCCATTTTCCTCCTAGAAAACTCGTAAATAGAATGTGAGACTATTTTGACCAGAGTTCTTTTGAGAATTTATACCAAGTGCTATTTTCTTTCTTGATTAGGAAGCATCATTGGCTTAGGGGACCCCTGCTTTGCAGACTGTGGAATGAACTCAAGACCTTGTGCTTGTGAGATAGACATGGTATCTTGCTTTTAGGCTCTTGTTTTTATTTTTTAACACAGGGTCTTGCTGTATAGTTCAGGCTGGCCTTGAATTCACTATGTAGCCCAGGCTGGCCTGAAACTTGAGATGAGATCCTTTTGCCTCAGCCTTGCAAGTGCTAGGATTATTGGTGTGCATGACTTCATACTGCACACACATAGTTTTAGCGAAAACTCTTAAGATTCACAAAATACCATGCCCTGGAAGAAAGACCTTGGGAATTTTGATGGGAGAATGGGAAGAGACATAGTACAAAACTGAGTCTGCAGTAGTTCTTTTTTTTTTGGTGGTAAGAGGGATCAAACTCAGGACCTTGCGCTTGAGAGGCAGGCGGCAGAACCACTGAGCCAAATCCTGGCCCCCTGCAGTAGTTCTTTGAGAGGAAAAATGCATTCTCTGGTGGCAGGAGAGCCAAGCAAGGGTGGAGGTTGGCCATCAAGTGACTTGGAGTTAGAAGATCTAGGAGAACCACACTGTTGTTTATAAGGTAGATGTGTGCAAAGGTCTTGGGAGAGGCCACAACAGAGATGGGGCGGGAGAGTAGGAAGCCAGCAGACGCTGAAGCAGTGTTGGCTGTGTGCCACGCAAAGGCCCTCTGCTAGAACAGGGCACACTGCTAGTATTTTTGAGGCCTACAGCTCTGGATTGATGGAATCACCCTGCAACCAATGAACTGGACTGCAGAGGATGAAGCTTGAGGTGACCATATATTCTGTTCCCTTAAGTCCTAGGGTATAGACAACAGAAAGAAAAATACAAGTTGGACAAACATCACACACATTCACAATGTGTCCAGATCCGATTCACTTCACTCATTCTTCTTGGACCTGTAGACTTGTGCATTCGTCTGCTGGACTTTCTGACTTTGAGACTCTTCACAGCTGTCAGGATTTGGTATAAATAACAGCCTGCCAAAGAGTGGGTGACAACATGGCTTTTTGCCGGGCTGCATCTTGCTCAGCATTGCTCATGAAGTCTCCTGCCACTGGCCGTGCGCCAGGCCTGACAAACAGCCATGAAAACAACTTGTCATGAAGTGATTTTCAGAAATGATTGTCGAGGTGACTTCATCATTGCATCTTTCGTGCTTGGCAAAATAATTACTATGCTATGTGTTTGGGTGTTTAAAAAATTTAAAAGAAAACATTGATAAAATGTTTTCCTATAACTGGATTACAGAGTAGTGGATGCTGTCTCAGTTTTGTCTCCTTACATGTAGATATTTCATACAACTGTTGGGTTTCCTGGAAAATAAATGTATCCACAGTCCTGCTTATGAACCTGTATTAGAACCATAGGCCATTTCCCAGCGGTGTTTTCTGGGACTAACTTTAATGTTTTGACTTAATGCTTGTGGATCAAGTAGTGGTCCGGTTCTTAAGCCGGGCCAGAGGAGAAAGGCTTGCACACGAGAACGCAACCCTGCCACTGGCATTCAGACATGAGTGCAAGAACTGTGAGGGTTAGAGATGTGAGTTCACGGGGGCTCCCTCAAGTGGGGAAGATTGGGCTTCATGAGGACAGGCTCCATGGTGCCCTTTTGTCTAGTATTTACATTTCCTTTCAAAAATGGATTTGTTTCTGCCAGGACATTTCATAACAATGAAATGCCGTTGTGTTTTTAGAAATAATCATAAATTAAATTGACTCAGGATGTTGCAAAGTGCTCTTATATTTTATTTGATGATGGTGATGATGATGATGGTCAGTCCCAGGTGGCCTGGCAGCTATTGTTAAGGTCTTATTTGTTCCAGATGAGACACTGGAGGCTCCCAGCAGTGAGGCGGTGTGTACACTGCCACACAGTGAGGCACATTTGGTGCTTCTGCCTCTGTCCTGGGCCTGAGCTACTTCCTCACAATCCCACCACCATTTGTTTTTTTAAGCTAGTGACCTTTTTTTTTTTTAAAGCAGCTTTAAATTTATAGAAAGTTCCCATGTGTCTCTTCATTTCCTCAGCTTTCTGTATCATTAACCTCTCACATTAGTCATAAAGGATGTCCCCGATCTGATACATTATTATTAACAGACATTGACATTAGTTAGGGATCACTCTTTATGTTGTACACTCTGTGAGTTTTCACAGATGCAATGGCTTATACTGTCCAGAGTAGTGTCGGGCTTTAGTACCTGTCACACTCTATGTTGTTGTCCTATCATATAAAGTAGTTTCTTTGTTCTAAAATCCCCGTTCACCTATTCAGACCCTGGTCTATCCACCCGAAACCTTGGAAAACATTGATCTTTTTACTGTTTGTTGTTTTTCCCTTTCTAGAGTGTTGTGTAGTTATCATCATATACTGTTTCCCTAGCGCCTTTTTAAACCCTGATAGTTTTTCTTCATTGGTTAGATAAAAAATAGGTTTTTTTTTTTTGTAACAGGGATTGAACTCGGGTCCTTGTGCTTGTGAGGTAGACAGCGGAACCATTGTGCTAAATCCCCGGCCCTAGATAAAAAATAGTAACAACAAAAGTTCACTGTGTTTCTTTGAGTTAAAATTTTTCATGAAGATTGTATACATGAGGAGGCCTATTTTTTTCACTGCCATCTCTCATGCCTGTTCTTAGAATGTGGTTGATAGATTTGCCTCTTGGTAAGATGCCCTTGCTTGATGTAACAAACCTGAGTGGTGATATAGACCATGACTTTTTTTCCTCTCAGGAAAATGAGCAAAAATATTTTCACTTGTACTGTGGTGTTAATATGATATACTTTCTTGTAAACAATGGATATGGATATCAATAGAGAATATTTATTGTGATTAAGGAAATACCTTTCCAAGTAAAGATCATCAGAAGAGAAGAAAACAGCCAGGGCTACCTTATTCCCATTCGAGGTGCTATTGCCTTGAGTCGTGATTGGCCTTTTCTGCAAAAGAAAGACACACCATGCCAAGGAGCTTAGCCATTCCGTACAGCAGCCCTGACTGTTGTGGCCAGTGCCACAGGTTTGGTCCCCCGATAAGCATTAGTTTGGAACTCAGCTTAACTGTTAGAAGCTTTCATGTACCCTGTGGGCATTCCTGGATTGCAAGGGAACCAAGAAAGTAAATTTAGAAAGTTTAGATCTCACTAACTTCTTGCTCCAAATTCAGGACTAGAGCAATCAAATGTGTTTTCTACCAGAGACAGATCAGCACACCATTCGGGTGTGCGAGTTCTTGAAGGAATTGCATAGTACTAGCATTGGTTGATGGAAGAGTCTGAATTCTGAAGTTGGCATTACAGTGTAAAGGACAAAGGAATAAAGCATGCTTCTAGTAACACATTTTGGTGAAATGATTGCCCATTTGTTTGACATATTTAATTATTATGTTTTCTGTTTGAAGGTGGCGGTTGTTTGTAATTGTCAGAGATGACAAAAGTGGCAAAAAGATGAAGGATCATAAATATTTTTTAAAACTTTCTTACTAGTTAACAAGGACAGAATACCATGCTAAAAAGATAACCAAGGATTCATTGATAGCTAATTTACTCTTTAGCGGTGATGTGATAAATATGGGTGTTTTTAACCTTGTCAGTTAGGTGGCAGCATAGTCTAGTAGAAAATAGCTCTAGTTTGTGGGTCAAAGTTTCTGTAATTTGCTCCTAAATCTCTTACTGATATTATATTTGGGTAACCCTGAGAAAGTCAATTGATTTTTCTTGATCTCCTTTGGTCTCCCTTGCCATGTCTGGAAAATGTGGCCAATCATAGTGATATTTGGCTTTGACTTAGGACAGACAAGGTAATACATACTGAGAATTTTGTATTGCCAGTAAGCAACTTAAAGTATGTTTCTAGACTAAAAATATTATACTATTAAACCTTACTTTATATAGCTTTTATGTTAATACTTCCTGTCTTTGTATCTTACTTCTTAATAGCCACCCATATATGGATGCAAATATATGTGTAGATGTTTAACATGTGGGTATGCATATGAGTGTGAATATGGCAGGTATACACACAAGCTCACATGTGTATTTTGTGCTTTATAATTTTCCAAAACTCTCTTGCAAGCTTTACCTTATTGGATTCTCCCAACAATTTCTCAGAAAGGGGATGTTCTTGCATTTATTATATAAATGTGGTTGAGAAAAATTATGGTTGCAGAAAGCTGATAGTTACCAAGTTTATGAAGTATTGTGGGGAAAAAGAACTTCACTACATATCAGGGTCACAATTTCAAGTGCCTTTTAAACCAGGCTGTGAACCAGTTTGGAAAAGTTGCAAGAAATCCATTGAAAAAAATCAAGAAGATGAACATTTTGAGAAAGGTTCTGATGGAAGGACTAAGCAGTATCTTTACTGAGTCACAAATTTGCATGTTGGATTGGGTTTCTGAGGTGGTTCTGCTCAAGACTGCACCTTCTATCAACCTAAAGGCACTGCTACAAAGTTTTAGTTAACGTCTCTAAAAGGCTTCACTCTCAAAGGTACCACCAGTTCATGCAGTCTTTCACTTGTTCATTAATTGAGCTGCCCATCTATTTATTTGCTCATTCACTCAGAGGCATTCACTGGTTCCACTGTGTGCCCTGTGGAGGGAACAGGGAGAAGCAGAGAGCAGAGGAGTTGGAGGTGGGCTCAGCACAGGGTCTGCTGGGGGCTGAGGTGGAGGTGGCTTTGCCATGTATTCTCCTTTGTGTGGGCTGAGCAGAATGTAAAATTTTCAGACCAAAGATAGTTCAATATAGTTCAGTCTACTATACATAGTGGTGGTGGGGTTACATGTTTTCTATATAATGGAATGAGACATTTTTCCTCTTTATTTGTGCATCCACCCTACTCAGTAGAGTACCTGACACATTACAGATATGTAATACATAATATATTTGCAGAAAAGACTCTAAAAGCTCTTGTACACAATCTGGTGGCTGAATGAAAAGAAATGTTTTGTTTGGCCAATTATGCAGCTAAGAAAAAATTCATTTAAAAAATTAGAATCATGCAGATAATCCCATTCATCTGCAAATTTATATACCACTGCACTTGAAGGTTTATCTGTGACATACAGAGGTTTTTCTGAAACCTTTATGTCTTACAATACTTGGTAGAAGTCCTTCTCTTGACAAAAGCATGAGTTTATTGTAAGTCATTCAGATTTTGGCATATAATCTAATGGAGGGTAAATGATCACTGAGCAGGCTTATTTGTTGATGAGAGCTTGAAACCGAGTGTACTGAGCACCGTTTTGCTCTCATTGAATTCTATTTTGCCCTCAGCCTAGGAATTTGGGAAGACAGGCTTAAGAAGCCATTTCATCTGGCCTTCAGATTCTAGGAATATAAATTTCAACTCAATCCAGGGAATATTTGAGCAGCTTCCCATGTGTCAGGTAGTATGTATGCAGGATGCAAGTTGTGGTGGGGATTTTCCACCCACAAGGCCACTTGCAATTCATGTCTCCCTTGCTGCTCCCTTGCTGATTGTTAAATGGAGACCAAACCAGGGAGAAGATCTTGAAAATAAAGGCAATGCCTTTGTAAACTGGATTTGATGTAGAACTGGGCAGAAACACAGACCGCCTCTCCCCCCACTCAGAATCATGGGAATATCACAGTCAAGGTGGGAGAGACCTCATAAGATTCCAGAGAGTGTGATTTTTCTAAGAGGGAGGTGTGTTCTTTCCGGTGCCCATTTAGCACAGTTGCAGCATAAATCTAACTGATGCTTTTCAAATATAAACGGAAAGCCTTCAAGCAGCAAGAGTTTTATCTCCAGGCTTCATTTTTATTGTCACAGAGGTGTTCTGTTTAGAAAGAAAACAAGCCATTAGAATATTCCAGCAGAAATGTCATTAACATGATTTAGTAGGTGGGTTATTTAGGGTTACTTAGCAAAGAAACAGCATTTCTGGACAGTGGTAAATTTGTTCAGCAAGTCCAGTGAAATACCCTTTATTTCTTCCCACCCAGGTTGTTACCCTGTCTTAAGCCCAGAGGCTCAAATTCCAACGGCTGTCAGATTTTTTTCTAGAGCAATCATACACAGGTTCTCGACCATTTTCTTTTTCAATTTCTGTGGCCTCATAGTGCTCAGAAATGTTGAATTTTATGAAGAGGCCAGGAAAAGTCCCAACTCGTGCCAAGGCTTTGGTTGTAGGCTTGGCACTGGAAGCAGCAGCTGGTGAGGGCGGCAAGCAGCCTACTCCCAGGGTACGTGTTTCTCACAGAACCATATTCAGAGCAGGCTTTTTGATTTCCACAGATTTAACAGTCACTACCCTGTCCCTATGAATTATACTCATGCTTTAAAAAGGCCATGGGTTTATTCATGACTGGAAAATGTCATAGAACTGGAAAGTGACTTTTTTTTCCCCTCATTGAGTTTATTGGTACTTTTTAGGTATACAGTACAGTTACCTTCATCACTGGGATTTTGTACCCTTACATGACAGGTCTTGGTTCTCATTTTTTCCCCATTCCCCTGCCCTCCCTTCAACTGCTCCTCCCTTCCCTATTTACAAATACTTTATTTCCATTTTTTTGTTTTCTCATGTTTTTTTTTCTTTTCCCTTATTTCCTTTCCCCTACTCTTCCCACTTTCCCTACACCTTTAGCCCTTTTCTTCCTATTTCACATTATCAATTATACCATTAGGATCTTTCGAGAGATGCAGATGAAAACAACACTGAGATTCCGCCTCACCCCACAAAGAATGGCTGCTATCAAGAAGTCACACAATAATAAATGTTGATGGGGTTGTGGGGAGAAAGGAACCCTTCTCCATTGTTGGTGGGAGTGCAGATTGGTGCAACCACCATGGAAATAAATCAATATGGAGATACCTCAAAGAGCTCTGACTAGAGGTTCCATTTGACCCAGCTATCCCTTTGCTGGGTATCTTTCCAAAAGAATCATATCACAATGATATACACACACCTGTGTTTATAGCGGCACAGTTTGTAATAGCTAAAACTTGGAAACAGCCCATTTGTCCATCAGTTGGAGACTGGATAAAGAAGATGTGGTTTTTCTATAAAATGGAATACTACTCCACCATAAAGAATGAAAAATTAGAGTCATTCATAGGAAAATGGATACATATTGAGGATATACTCCTAAGTGAAATAAATAAGTCACACATGTATAAATACTGAATAATTTCTCCGGTGTTAGAAACTATAATGGAAAGTGACTTTGAAACCATCTTTGGCCAATTATGGTCCTGTTCCTCCTTTTGCAGCTCAAAAATCAGACCTCAAGAGACCATTTGATTAGTGGAACTCCTTGCCTTCTTGTTCATCTTTCAGTCTTCATCCCTTCTCATCTTTTGCAGTTTTTCTTTCACTTCTCACCTCTTCCCACTCTTTACAGTCTGAAGAAAAAATTTTTGTGGTGACATTGATGTTGGGACCAAAGGGAGAACCGAGTTTTGTGAGACATTAAGCCTTACATAATTTGGGAATCTTCTTTAAGAAGACTTTAAAAGAACAGAGGTCATTCTGTGTATGGCTGGGGCCCCTTGGCAAGTGAGAAACCCTATCTTGTTCTTTCTTTAGTGCTGTGGCCATTCTATCTCTGATAAGGACCATTAACATTTCTTCCTTCACATCCCTCTGCCCTCCATCCACTCTTTATCATATTAAACAGTTGATTTAAAGAGTTGAGACTAAAAAGCCTTCTTTTATATGGTGTTGTCAGTATAGATGACTTCATTATTCCACCTGGTTATTGCAGAGATTGTTTTATTGTCCTGTCTTATTCGTTTTCCTCCCTTGCATGTGGGTGTCTTTCAGTCCCCCAAACTTCTAGCTATAAGACATCTCTGAAAATCAACATTTGTCAGAGGCTACAGCAGGGATTCTTGACCTGGGATCCATGAATCCTGACTCTGCTGATACTGTGAGCTGAGAAAGGGTCTTATTGCTTTTTCATCCTTAGGATTATTTTATGTGTCTTGAATGCTTCCTGTGTGCTAGGAAATGCATGATCCAGCCTTCCCAGGGACTCAGAGGGCTCTATGGCCCAGGGAGCGTGGAGAACCATGTTTCATAGCATTGGCCATGAAAATGTGTAACCACTGACATCTCGCCTTTTAAGGTGACTGCAGAACATCAACATGTTTAAGTATTTCAAAAATTAAATGTATTTTCTAGGGCTTTAAGACATTAGGCCAGTGGGAAAACTGAGCATGTATATTTTTATGAGGGTAATATTTTCAGTGGTAAAATGGGATTTATCAGACCTCATGAACTTGTGACTTCCAGAAAACAGCAATGATCTAACCTGGGACTGAAGGAATGTCTTTATCCTGGACATGCCAATAAGCACTTAGCCTTGTTGGAGGGAAGAGTGGCAGTGAGGGGGCTATCTGGGTCCTGTCAGGGCCTGTCAGGACGGCGACAGGGGAGAGCAGGCAGGGGGTCCCCGTGTGAGTGGCTCTGCTGACAGGGCTATGTTTAGCTGTAGGAGGCAAAGGGGAGAGGCCTAACTTGGGCTTCCTCATCCCTGTGCCGCTGGAAGCCTGCTGTAATGGAGGAGTCACTTATTTGTGTTTTGGGGTGGGATTGCAGTCTTGATAATCATAAAACTAAAGGTTCGTACTAGGACTAAGTGTCTTTTGTAGCCCTCAATTTGTTTCTTTCCATTTATTTTTATTCCTAAACATGTATGTGTGACATAGGTCAAGACAGTGAAATAAAACAAAAATAGTTATCATTTTACTTCTTATGAGTTTCTCTTTTAGGTTTCTGATCCTAATTTCACTTACTGACTACTTAGATGCATCAAGAGTGAGCTAGGCTCAATGCTGGCACAGGCGTTGCTGCCTAACTCCGTGCTGTGGTTGGGGCTGGGCTCTGTGTAGTTCCTGGAATTTGCTGTCATCAGGAGAAACAGCCCAGGGGATGCCCTTTTCTGGTTGACAAGGATCTAGCTCCCATGAAAGGGTTTCTCACTCTTCCGTGACCACTCTCCCGCTGGTCATGACACCTGGTTGCCAGACTAGCAGGATTTTAGACAATTCCAGCTGCCTCTCCTTGGGGACTTGAGGACAGGCAAGAATGCAGTGACTAGGAATGGGCAGGATATTCATTTGTCCTCTTGGTGGGAGCCAGCTTTCCGTTGCAGCTCTTTGCATCCACACACATTGTGTGAACCACTTTGCATCCTTATTAAGATATTAGAATCTATTGGAGGGTGATTTTCTCTAATTTTCTGTCATTTTGTAGTTCTGTGCAAGAGATATTAAATTGTAAGTTAAAATGAGGCATCTGGATATTGCTGGAAAATGCCAGCTGAATTCTCAGGTTCTTGAAGCAGCAAAGGTTTGCAAAGGTTTAGCCACTCTGGGTTTTCTCTTTCCAGAGGGGAAGCGGGACAGGAGGTGGCCCCTTGTCCTTACAGACCATTCCCAACAAGGTGTTCCTCAGTGGGGATTGGATTTTCTCCACTGCCTCTGTCTCAGGATTGGGCTTCATTCTGTTGTCAGGCCTCAGGGAAGTGTGTGCTTTTCAGGGCGGCCAGACCCCCACCTGTCATCAGCACAAGTCAGAGAGACACAGTCATCAGTGGTGTCTGTATGGGAAGGGCAGAGTTGATTTGCATAAACACCATGTCATTCCTGCTTGTGGCTCCACTCAGCACCTGCGTCCTGTTCCACATGAACCAGGGACAGATGAAGCACTTGGAATGAACTGCACCTGGGGAGAGGCCGGAGGTCCTGCCAGCCCTCCATGTGGCTGGGACACAGTCCAGTCCCTTCCCCTCCTTCAGTGGCTGAATGGCAAGGAGGCCATGACCATATCCTTCACACTTATTCCCTGGTCGTTCATTTCCTTCCATCTCCCAGGGTCCCAGTCCTCCACCCAAGTGCACTTTGAAGATTCCTCAGACAGGATCATAGTAGACATGAAGTCTAAATAGTTATCCATGGAGTGACATGTATACGATCAATAAAGCCAACAGGATTTTAATGCAGTTGTTTTCTGAATAGACACAGTCTGTTCTCTGGTCCCCACTTGGCCTGCCTGAGGAGGGTCCATCTTCTCATGACCGAGATCTCTGACATCAGATAGGTGATGAGTGGTTGTATATCTGCATGTGGAATTCCCACAAAGAATACCAGGCAAATGGACTGGCAGGCAGCCACGTGGCACTTGTGAAGATGAGCAGCAGGGATAGTTAGTGCCGGGTGGGTGTGGGAAGAGGGTGAGGCCATTGCAGGAGGTCTGGCTTAGGCACTCATTCCCTTAATGGTTTCAAAGTAAGTAACAATAAAAAAGAAGACACCACTGAGGTGAGGGAAATTCTAGCGGTGACTGTAAAGAACGGGAGGGATGAGAGATTTCAGAGAAGCCGCTGCAACATACACACCCAGGTGACTGGAAGGCACACCCTGAAATGCTGATGTGTAGGAGGAGGAAGCAGCCTAGAATGCAGAAGTGATTCTGGGGTGGTGGGAATTGGCCACATGATACAGTGGTGGAAAAGACCAGGCGCTTTGGGGTGACAGACAGCATAGCTGCTGCTCCAGAGCCCTCACTTCTTGTTCTGGTGCCAGTGACAGCCTGGAGTCCTCTGTCTAGGATTACGAGGGATGCTGTAGACACCAGTGGTTTCTGAGAACTGATGTGCCAATTTGTTGAGCTCCTGGAGGGTGAGTTTTGGAAGAATCTTTTGAAGGGCAAGGGCACAAGTGAGAGAGATGATAGCTTTTCTAACATTGAAACTAAAAGACCAAATTACCAAGATGCTGTCAAGGAAAGCCCTCTATTAGCTAAGATTTAAACTGAAAATACAGACGTGTTATTCTGCTTTGTGGCACTATCACAAAATATTAGGACAGACAATGTAAAGGGGGAAAGGTTTATTTTTGACTCATGATTTCAGAGATTTTAGTTCATGGTCAGTTGGCCCTCTTGTTTTGGGCATGTGGCGGTATATTAGTACGTCATGGCAGGAGTCTGTGGCAGAGGAGGCCTGCTCACCTCATGGTGAGGAAGCAAAGAGAGGGACAGGAGGAGGATGGGTTCCCAGCATCCCCTTGAAAGGCACTCCCCCAGTGACCTAATGCCCTTCCATAAAGCTCCACCTCTTAAAGGAACCACCACCTTCAGTAGCAACAAGTGGAGGCTCAAGTCTTTAACACTGAGTCTTCGGGGGCATTCTAGATCCAAACCATAATAATAGATATGAAATTTGGTGAAGGAAATTTGAGGAAGCCACATTTGCTAAAACATTGCCTCCACCCTGAAATAAGGTAGTGTCGTGGCAGACACCATTGTGACCTTTGAAAGTGAGGCAACATTTTCAGGGCAACCGAGGCTGAACCTTGATTGGTGGCTGCAGAGGAAAGACTTTGTTTTCCATGGAGCTTAGTTAGCTGTGAGATTTTATATCAATACGTGGGTGTGTGGGTGATTGAGGGGTATATACGCACTGTGGTGTGTTCACTGTATACTGCTGTTATATAATGTTTAGTAATGAAATAGTGCATAAGACATGATAAAGAATACCTTTTGTGTGTATGTATGGCTTCACACCTATCTGAGATAGAGTGTACTTTTTATATAATATTAGCAATTGCAGGATTTTGTGTTTAGACTAACGTGCACATTGAGGGATGTGGCATAGAGATGATTATGAGCTGGATTAAGCTGCCATAGAATCTTCTAAAGACATTAGTGTATTGGTGTTGGAAGAGTGTATATGTAAGCTTTCTTTGAATTGTTGTAAATTCATTCAGGCAGATGACTAAAAATGACATAACTCCACCAAGGATTAGGTGGGAAGTGGGTGTAACATTTCAAATTGGAGCAAGGATTCTCACTGTTCCTGAGTATTCACTCCCCAGATCTAGTCTTGCAGTTTGAAATTCTGTATGTTCTTTTTTTAAAGTTCCTGAATGTCAGAGGTAAGTGCTTCCTTTTCATTTTATCCTGATTCTTCACTGGCAGAGCTTTTGTTTGATGCGTCCTTCCCCTGATTGGTTTTTAATGATTTTGCCTTTTTTCCACCCTCCCCCCCTGCACATTGACAACCACCCACACAGTTAACATGCATTAATTGTCTTCCGGAAGTCACAACCCATCTAGTTGTCATGCAGGTGACAGAGTCCCTGATGAGTGTCCACATTTTGCACAGGACTGTGAGGAGTGGTGGATAGCTTGCTGGCTTCCACTGCTGTGGCTTGGCTTTTGTGTATGACTCATGGAGAAGTTGCAGCTTTTCTTTATCACACCACCTCTCCTTTCTACAGGGGCTGGCTTTGTTAGTCTATGGCAGGGGTGAAAGGCAAGTCCAGGGAGAGAGTAGGCTTCTCAGTGGACTCTCTCCTGGAGGTAGTGTGTGTTTCCACTGTGGGTCTGTCCAAACCAGATCCAACAGAATGAGAGCAAAATACAAGATAAGGGTCAACATGAAACCATTATGGTGGCATAAAGGATTGGTTGGGCAGCAATAATCAGAGGATGGATAGAAAATAGGAAAACAGGATGCAAGAGGAAGGCAGGAAGAGACACTAAGACTGAATTAATATAACACTAGAACACTTATACATCCTTATTCATAGCAGCATTATTTGTAACAGCTAAAGGTGGAACAGTCTAAGTGTTTGACGGTGAATGAGTGGAGAAACAAAATGTGGTTTATATGTAAAATAAAATATTATACAACTTAAGAAGGAGTGAAATCCTGATGCATACTACAACGTAGATGAACCCTGAAGATATTATGTGGAAGGCAGTAAATCAGACACAAAAAGCAGAAGCACTGTACAATTCCAATTCCATGAGGTACCTAGAGTAGTGAAATCCATAGAGAGAGAAAGTAGGATGGTAGTTAGCAAGGACTGGGAGAAGTGGGGAATGAGCAGTTTTTCCCTAATGGATGTAGGGTTTGTTTTGGGATGATGAAAACATTCTTGAGATGGATGGTGGTGGTAGTGGTCCTGTCAGTGTACTTAATTCTTCTGAACTGCACATTTAAATTGATAAATTTTTTGTTAATTATACTTTAACACACGCATCTAAGTTGGAGCTCCCTCTTTTCTATCCTTAGATCGTTAGCATTTAACTTTCCAGATCATTCACTTAAGTATCTCCCCTATGAGTGTGTGGTAGTAGGGTGGGGAATTTATTAGGGGCTTAGAAGGAAGCAGAGAAGTAAAGGGCCGTGGCATCTTGTTGCCCATACAACAAGTTATGAAAACAATGTGTGTAAGAGTTTGTTTTATTTTTAAGAGGAAGTGGTGGAAACTCCTTTGAGCATCTTAGATTCTACTAGGCTGCTTTGACATCCACACTGACATGTTTCAAGCTACCTCATGGCTGCCTACGAACTTAATTTGCGTTTTGCTCATTCCTAATACACAGGAATGTTATTGAAATGTTGGTCTTAAGTAAAGCTGTTCAGTCCTTCGTAGTTAGTTGATTAATGGCAGGGTAATTGCCCTTCATTTCTTGGCCTTCAAAATTGTACCAGCTGGGTCTTTACTGCCCAGAAAGCAGATGTGTGTGAAAAGAGTGAAATTCCTAGCTGTCCCTCATACAACACCTAGGTGAGAAGCCACTGGGGTGGCCAGGAAGGGTATCACGTAGGCAGCCCTGGAGGGTACCCTGGAGAGTGACCAGTGTCTGGGTTAGGCCAGGGCTTCCTGGAGGAATTTTAAGAAGACAGGAATCATCTTCTGGAGGGAATATGGATGCCAGGCAGGTGAAGGAACAGAAGAACCAAGGACAAGGAATGAGTTTGCAGTGCAGTTTAAGGTATGTGCTTGTGTACAGCAGTAAAGAGGGTGATACCTCTCCTGCCATCATTCAGGGTCATGGCTAACACTTCTGTAACAAAAGGCAGGTTAACAAGAGAAAAGCATCACAGATTTATTTGTTTATAGTTTTACTGACACAGGAATGGCTCTGGTGGAAGACTTGGAGACCCAGGTGAGCTATCTACTTTTATGCTTAGGTTTGAAGCATGGATAGTTGTGTATAAATGTGATTGGACATGAAAGCTATGCACTAGTAACACTGGACTGGAGGGGAGGTGGGGTGTGGCAAGGCCTGTCTTTCCGATTCCTCCAAGTCAACTGATTCCTTCACTTGTAGCATTTCTTCCTCCAGAGTGTGAGACAGGAGCCCTCTAGAGGGAGTTTTATGACCTACAATTATACAAGTTAGGCCAGAAGGTGGTGAAAGTTAGAATTGCAGTTTTAAGTTTTATGGCTGGTTTGGGGAAAGGGTGTTCTGCTTTCTGTGACCCACCTTGGAGGAGAAGAATTCCAGATTCTGTGACTTACCTCAGGGAGGATGAGGGCTGAGAGACAGGAGAACAGAGAGAATCTTCGCTTCTGATGTCTTTATCTTGTGGTATCATTTCTGAGCCCCCAGAACTGTGAGTCTGGTTTCTACTAATGGTTAATGCTTTTGAGCATTTGCCTCTGCCAGTCACTTTTTATAATTCTCCTCAGCCTCTTATGCACCCTAAAAGGTTCACAGGGTTCAAAGTTCTGTCATTTCCTTTTTATAGATGAGGAAACTGAAGTACAAAGAAAGTGAACAACTGGACCGTGGTATTAGGAGTTAGACTGGACACACATGTATTAGGTGTTAGACATGGGGACCTACTTCCCATGTCTCTAAACAGGGAAAGAAGTGGATTTAATCTGGACTTCCTAGTGACTAGACTTAATGTTTCAGTTGTCTTTAAAGCAGGGGATGCTTATCGATCAGAAGGACTCAGAGCCAGTGCACTCTCTGCCCTGCTTCTGCACCCTTGCTCACACTGTCCCCTTCATCTCTTGATTCTGTTGCCCAGCCTAACTGGCTCTTCTGTGTTCAATGTGAAGGCGTCGCTGGGGATCCCAGACCACAGATGAGCCTTGTCACCCAGAGTGAGCCTCGGTGAGCCTGCCTGCTCCTCCTCTCAGTGCCAGCCCATCTTGACTTCCACTTCCCCTGTATGACTTGGCTGTGTCCTCCCCAGGCCAGGCCTCCCAGACTCCTCCTGCTCACCGGAACTCTGCACACACATGCACACATGCACATGCACACAATGTGCTTCCTGGAGTCCAATAGGACAAGCCATGAAGCTGGTTTCCTTAGCCCGAGGAATTGGCATCTTTGGCCTGGATGAGGTGGGTGAGTCTAGAGAGTTGGATGATGAGGGAGGAAGCTTGGGAAATGAGTCAGAATGGAAGTCCCAGCCCACCATTTCCTGAAGGAAATGATCGCTGACCCAGGCTATAGCTCTGGGCTTTATACCAACGGGTACTCCAGAAAAAAGCACCATGTCTGCTGTTTCTAGAAAGAGCAGAGAGGACTGAGGAAGGAAGAAGGGCTACAGGTGGACCTCAGAGATCAGTGTACTGCTAAGGCACATGAGGACAGCTCCACGGTGAATCTGGCCGCTTCGCACAGGCCAAGGTGACCCAGATGTGCTCTGCAGAGGGCTGTGTTTCTGCCTTTCTTCACAAAAGTGGCTTCATGACCAGTTAGACTGGTAGGGAAACATTCTCTCTATAATGACAATTTACTTCTTGTAGGTATGTGACTCTGTGAGCAATGGGAGTCTTAGAAAGGTCCTTGGTGTTTAGTCATTTCTTATTTTCCTATCTGTGCTTTGGGGCTTTACCTGGACACTGCTGGTAGCGCATGAGCCTTTTCCTTCCCTGCAGTGCTCAGGGACTGCAAGTCCAGCTTCAATAAACTGGAAAGACTGGCACTTTCCTAATTAGTCCACTCTGATGAAACTGAAGCCCAGGGTAGGATTTTTGGTTCACCTCCCAGATCACAGGGATTTATGGCCTCATTAGCAGTTGAATAAGCAGTTTGAAAAGATCCAAGAACAGGCTGACCATTTGGAATCTCTGGTAGTCTGCTCTGCCTCCTGTCTTAGCCTGTTTGTGACTTACCTTTGCCTCCCCAGGGGCCCGCCCTGGGAGGAAGGAAGCAGGAAATTAGATGCAAAGAGAAAATTGGAGTGGGCATTCTGGCTTATCAGGTAGAAGAGTGTGTGTGTGTGTGTGTGTGTGTGTGTGTGTGTAAGGGAAAGGGGAGACAGATTTAGAAGTTTTGTATAACCTTTGTTAAGTGCCATAGGTGGTTAGTGATTTAGGTCCATTTCTATTTTAAGGCAAACTGGCTTGTAGATTTGTTTGTCTATCTTCTACTGCAATGACGCAAGCTCCCTGATGGATGCATTTGTGTGCATGTGAGTATGTGTTTTAATGTTTGTTTATTTTCTAATCATTTGTTCACTGATGTATTCCAGGTGCTTAGAACAATGGGTAGTGCACAGGAATACAGTATTTATTGAATGAATAAATAAGTGACTACAGATGTGTATGAGTGTGTGTGTGTGTTTGTGTGTGTGTGTAAGTGCATTACGCAAAAAAGTAACATCTTACCCATAAGGCATTTATTAAACAACCTAAAGTGTATAACGTGACGAATTAGAACATAGTCCAAAAGGCCATGGGGTAGCCACATAAATGTGAAGAACTCTTGCTGGATTTTCTTTAGTCATAAGAGAGACATATCACCCTTCACAGCCTGGCCCACTTTAGATACAGTTCTCAGCCCAGAGCAGATCAGGAAAGGCAAATTAAAGATAGAGAAAGACAAAACGGACAAAGTGACTGCTAATAGCGTGACAGGAAGAGAGGAGACAAAGAACAGATACAAATCCTCTAAGGCTAGCCTTCTGGAACTGCTTGGTTGAGGGTAAACAGCCTTCTGAACTCTACTGTGTCTTTGGAAATTCTGTCATGCGGCATAACATGAAATTAACATTCACGGTGGACACTGAATCATCCAAAGTTTTAAGTTATATCTTATAACTTTATAAGATGAGGTCACCTCTAAGATTTTTTTAGGAAGATTTCTTCAGAATGCTTTAAATAACTTTTTATTTTTATTTTTTAAAAGAAAATGTGTTTCCATTTTATAGCAAGCATAAAATTATGGTCAGTAGGCCAAACAAAGGTTGTTTTATAAATAAAGTTTTATTGTGACTAGTCCTGATCATTCATTTATGTATTGGCCCGTGGCAGCTTTCGCTTTCCAATTGGTAGACTTGAATAGTTGCAATAGAAAGAGAGAACTTGAGAAGCCAACAGTACTTATTGTTTGGTTCTCTATAGCAAGTTTGTCAATACCTGATCTCGTTATGGGGCTCTTCTTGGGTGTTGGTTTCTGCTTTTCTGTACGTCTGACTCATTTGTGCACATTACCAAGGGATCCTTATCATAAGGATGTACATGTACACGTTTCTGGGGGCTGTAAGCACAATTATATGTTAAGCATCACATTTACTTTACTTCTCACACGTAGCTCTATGAGAGTTCACATGCGTTAGCTATTATTCTTCCTGCTTCATGTAGTTGGTGACAGCAGCAGTAGGTACACGTCCTAACAGCACGAGGGATTCAGTGAATGTGTATCCTAGACTACACAGCACCTTATGGGATAATTAAATGGTCCTGGATCTTGACTACAGTGGTGAGAAACATGCCTCATCAGGTAGAATTTGTTTTCATGTTATTCTTGTAGCCTCTGTCTTTGCACTTAATGGAGAAAGTTTCTCCTGCCAAAACAGCAATGCTGATTTATTATTCTATAGTAGAGTGGTCAATATCCTGTCCGTATTATGTTTTACTACTTCTGACTTTGATATACTCCTTGCTTAGCCTAGTTAATATAATACTTCACTTTACTCTATTGATTTTCAAGGACCAAGAGCCAAAACTCATTATGGAAAGCGAGATTCTGAAATTATAGACTCCTATAGGTACAATGTGTATATTATCATTAATTTAAGCACTAAAACATGGTTTTGGATTTGGGTGGGAAAGGAAATGCCCTTTTCTTATTGAGATATAATTTATATGCATAAAATTGACTTTTTAAAGTATATAATTCTGTAGTTTGTAGTAGATCTACAAGGTTGTACAGTTTCATTTAAAAAAGAATAGAAGAAGATTGGTTGATTTTGAGGAATTCTATGTGGATGATACCAAAGTGGCTGTTAGGAGTTGAACTGAGGTCCACATCTTTATGCTGTGTTGGGATTTACCAATTGGCGTGTGTGCTGCAGGACTAACTGCACATGAGCCCTACAGTGTGAGACCCCCTAAGTTTATGTGATATGAAAGTGGGCAGGAGCAACAGGACCCAGGTCCGCAGCCTCTGTCCTAACCTCAGACCCCAGAGTCTGACCAACCTCTCTATATTGTGGAATTCTTTTTCCCTCTAGTAGCTGCAGGGAATGAGGAATATAGTTCTTGCTGTCCTCATCACTGCAGTGAAACAGGGACAGCATAACAAGAAGGAAAAAATGTGCCAACCTAGGATACACTGAAATGTAAACGGGCCATCCCTGCTTTTCCCAGCTCCCACCCATCCCTGCCTCCTGTCCTACATGGTCCCCTACAAGTGGACACTCACTTCCAAGAACTTTGTGATCCTACTGCCTATTAGGCGCTATGCTAGGTCCTGGGAATATACATAGAAGTAAGATAGACAAAGTCCTGCTCTCCTAGCGTTTATATCAACAAAGATAAGAGACTGTAAACAGCTGATTATCTGTTATTTATATAGCCTCAATTGTGACATGTGCACCAAAAGAAATATTCAGGGTTTTTGACACAAAGGTGCACATGGAGCTCACTTGGTCTGGAGGTGGGGGAAGCTTCTCTGAGGATGTGATATTTCAGCCAAGATCTGAAGGATAAACGGAGAGGGTAGTGGGGTGTGCAGAGACTGGGGTGCATGCAGCAGGAAGAGAACGGAACAGGAGATGGCGAGCAAGTGGGCTGGTGCTCTGCCAAAGAGAACCATGTGAGCAGAGCAAGCATTTCGGATTGTGCAGTGAAAGTGTCAAAGTACTCTTAATTGTCACGCCTGGAGCTGGTAGGGAGAAGCTGATACAGAGAGATTTATTACTGTCATCCAAGTGAGAGATGATGGTGGCCTCAGCTGAGAGTGGGGACAACAGTAGATGTGGAAGTGGATTTTAAGGCACATTTAAGAGATGAGGTAGACAGGACCCAGTGCATCACATCTGTCTGTCTGTCTGGCTATCTATTTATTTCTACCTATAGATAAGAGTCTTGTTAGTCAGCTTGTCATTACTATAACCAGATACCTGAGATAATCAGCTTAATAAGAGGAAAGGTTTATCTTGCTTCACAAACTTGGAGAATTCAGTCCATGGTTGTTTGACCCCATTACTTTGGGGCCTGTAAAGAAGCAGAACATCATGGTAGGAACACACGAGGGGAAAAGTGCCTTTACCTTGTGAATGGGGAACAAAAGGAAAAGTGTCTGGGGTCCTAACCTATGCATCATAGGCACACCCCAAGTGACCTAGGACCTCCTACTAGGGCCCACCCTCTTAATGTTTTCAGCACCCTCCAGTAGTGCCAAGGTGGTAACTAAGCATTTAACACTGGGCCTTGGGGAAACATCACAGATCCAAACTATAGCAGAGTCCGTCTCCCTCCCCAGCCTTAGCACCTTAGATGTCTTCCTTCTCTCTTTGGCTAAGTATGCACTGAATCCGTACTAAATCCCATGAATGCCTCCGAGTTAAGGGGGAGTCATTTTATGGGAGCTTCAGAACTGTGTCTGTAATTGTAGAGACCCTTGATTTATAAAGGCTTCTGCAGATCATTTTATGAAATTATTTCTGGGAACTTTAAGTGGAAAAACGGAAAGCTTACAAAAATGCAGTCTTTAGAGAAGGTGAAATCTTGGGGCATCTAGAGAAAAATCACGGAGACACAAAGACTCATTGATAAACTTGCTTCAACTTAGGAGACTACATTTTCTATGTTGAAAAGATCCTCCATTTAAAAATTTTATTTACTTCTATTTTTATTCCTTACAGATACATGTTAATTATATGTATTAATAGGTTTCAGTATGCTATTTCTATATATGCATACAACATGCAGTGATCAAACCCAATCTTTTTAAAAGCATCCTAATGATCTGTGTCTCACTTTCTAAACAACTGGATGGGCAGGCAGGACCACCAGTTGGGTTAAAGCTTGGAGGGCAGTACATACCTGCCTGGACCCGAACCTTCTGTAACTTGGCACATGGGCACTGCCTCACCAGGACAGTTACCCCTGGGATGTTGATTTTTTTTCCCTTTATTTCCAGATTTTCAAAATTCTCTGATTACAAAATGGACTGAAAGTAGTCCTTCATGTCTTCTTGAATCATAACTAAGAATTTGTACTAGGGAGACCATAACAGGGAACTAGCAAACATCCCAGAACCTTGTTTCTCTTTGGTTTGCAGCATTTAATTCTGAGCCTTTGATGGACAGCAATACTAAATACAGGTTGTGTGCCTATCAGTGGCAGCAAATACCCTGTCTAAGACTTTTCACAAGTTTAGTGACGTCAGTGACTTCTTGTCTTCTGTGGGCATTTCTTCTGTTACACCAAGATGATGATATTCAAGAATTAAAGGCATTAAACTAAAATAGATGGTTTTCTATATCCAAGGACCCCAGGAAAGAAAAGTAGAGTGACAGTTTTCTGTGTCTTTATATAAATTCGCTTTTGCAAAAAATATGTTGTTGTGTAAGAAGCAAGGGCATCATTCAAGTGGTAGAGTGTGTGCTTTGCCCTAGGTTTGATCTCCAGCATCAAAACCAAAAATGCATGTAATTAGGAGCATTGACAATGTGGATTTAAAAAGCAGGAGAGGTGGGGAAAGCTTCAGGCTCCCACCCCAAGATAGCCCCTTAGCCTATGATCTTTACTTATTTTGCTTCCTACTTTTTTTTCCCTGAAATCAAACGTGTCTGTTTTTGCTTGTTTTTATTTGTTCATTTTCCTTTTTCTTCTCCAAGAACATGTGCCTGGATGTGGGTAAAGGGGCTGTTGCACAATTTTTCAGCAGTGCAGGTCAGTTTGTTGAGATTTGAACTTGGGACCCCAGATGCAGTGGTTCACTGCTCTGCTGGGGGTAGTTATTATCTTGTAC